CCACTTCAGGTCAATGTTGCTTTCCAGATCTGGAACTTAGTCACTGTGGGTCAGATTCTGTCATCCATTTGGCACCTCAGGGGATGTATGTGACTAAGTGTGATCCTACTCCACCCCACTAAAGTCCCTGAAAAGATGTTATAATGTTTATTTTTGTTACAAGGTATCATTTTACCCTTAAGACTGAGTCACAAAAAGTCTTGAGAAGGAGCACCTATCCTCCATCCTCCCTATCCATTTTTTTGCATCCAAGAACTCAAGCAGGGTAGAATATGATTACACTTTGGCACCTAAATCCACTGTGGCGCTTCATATGTACAACAGGCTTGGTTCCATATGTCTCTGAGTAGGTGGATAGCATAAAAACCCTCTTTCAGCAGTAACTAGATGTAGATTAGGCTAGGTACAGACATTATACTTAATGTGCTTTAAGAGTGCAGAAAGCTCGTTACAGTTGTAACAGAATAGATGTTCATGGCACATAAAGCATTTAAAAATGGCTGATTCCACTCTAAGTTAACCCTGGATGGATATCAACTAACTTAAAGCACTTTCTATTAGAGCTCTTTATCGGACGTCTGTGCCAGATCCTGTTGAGGATTAACTTACAACGTGGTTGCCACCATTTCAGGTGGCGTTGCACAGGGTCGTTTGCTCGGCCTAAGCACCTGGCTGGCCCCGCTCACTGGCTGTCACTGACCTGTGTCAGTGACAGCCTCTGATCCCAGCCTCCTATGCAGCCTGATGGGAGGGAGGGAAGGTTTTTGTCCCCACAGCAGCCCTGGCCCCACGGTACATCATGGCCCAGCTGGGATGGGGGCTACAAGCGAAGGAGTCCAGGGTTTCTTTCCCAGCAGCCGCCCCATCAGGGCTGTGGCCCACTGCTACTTGGCTGGGGGGAAGCTGCGGGGGAAGGACTCTGGGGTCTGTGTCCCAGCAGTAGCCTGGCCTGGCAGTGGGATACAGACCCCAGAGCCCTTTCCCTGCTGCAGCCCTGGCTGAGCCGTGCCGTGCCGTGCCATGCTGCAGCTGCTGGCTGCAGCTGTCAAGAAGGTGGGGAGGAGAAAGGCACCCCCTGTGTTCTCGGCCCCCCAGATCCCAGCCAGCAAGTTGTGGGGGGGGCCCTCGTGGTGATGGGACTCTGCTCCCCACTTCTTCCCCCCAGACACTGCTGACAGTTGCCAACTGGTGGGGGGGGAGGCAGGGGGAAATTGGGGGTGCCACTAGGGAGAGGTGCCAGTCTGGCACCCACCTGGGAGGTGTGTGTGACCACCCCAGCAGCCAGTGCAGGCAGGCTGTGAGCCCCTCCTTCCTCCCTCTCTCCCCTGAACAGCAAACTTCTGTTTGGTTGGCTCCTGCTTTAATTTATCTGCTTTGAGTAAAGCACGACAAGTTAGAGCACTTCCAGCAGGTGCTTTTTGAACATCTGTACTTAGCCTTAGATACTACAATAATGGACGTCTCTTAAAATTACCCAGGCTACATTTTGACTGTTTTTATTTAAAAGCAGGATTTGGGTTGGTATGTCCTCATTTTGGTTTCATGCCCCTTCCAATCTCATTTTTCTCAGGACTTACTATAGCAGTGGAGGCTGCTCAAGTAAGGGAATACAGACAATATCCTTGAAAATGTGCAAATATAACATAATATGATATGTAATTTGCAATGAGCTCATTTGAACACGCTTCTGAAAGTGATTGGACAATGTACTGTTACCATGTTTATATAATGCATGGAAAAAATGACAAATTCTGACAGGTAGCATGGTAAGAAGATTTGCAGACAAGTATTCCAGTCTAATCTGTTCCAGTGGGACCAAAAAAACATGTGAAACACAAGTATGCACATGAGCCTGGCTTTTAATTCCTCATTTGATGGCATGAAGCATTATGTCAGATGCTAATTGGTAAAAACACTATGACAGCAGTTTGATAAAGACTACAAGGCTACTTAAGAAAAAAAGCAGTTGAACTACTTGGTAGGCACAGGCTCACCATTTGACAGCAATGATCTTGGAGGATTTGGATAAAAACCAGCAGTTTCAGAGCTATTTGAGGAAAATCGGGTAAATCTATAATCCAGAGGCAAATCTGAAAGAAAAACACACCATGTTTTGATTAGTCACACTGCCTGTGCCTGAATAGCAGTGCCTTTTTTTTACTTAAGCCCTTGAGCAGCTTGGTCATTGGCATTAGAACCCAGATTGCATGATTGCATATTTGAAGGCATAAATGTCTTCAGCCACCCTAGACATTTGCTTTCTGGGAAACTGATTCAACTTCAGTGTTTCTTTGTTCCTTGTCTGTTATAGTAAAATACAGTCTTGGAAGTGCTAAGAATGATTTAAAACTGAAATCAAACATTTTTTTCTCCAGTCTTTTTGTGGAATCCAGCATATAGGAGCAATTATAACGTAATGTTCCACTCATAGGTCTAATTTCAACAGTAATTTGATATCATAAAGCTCATTTCAGAGTAACTGAGTGACCAAGATGATGACGCATTTTTGGAGCAGATTTTTTTTTTGCTGATGTTGGATGTAGAAGTTTTCAAGATGTTCTGCTTCTGCAAAACTCAAACACACTTTCTAACACCTCAGCACAAACAATGCACAATCAGCTCTTTCCCAGTCAACAAGCAGATACCGAAGCAGCAGTTAGAGTCACAGCATTAAGGCTATATTCAATCATGGCTGAAGTGAAAATATGAATATTTAGATACAGTCTAGATACTATTAAATAGTAGGTAGCACAGTAGAAGTTTAGTGGCATCCCACAATGTGAGGGTACAGTCAAATCCTACTTTCATTCACATTCCTTGACACCTTATTGGGCATGTCTACACAAGACACTACTGTCCAGTGGTTATTGCACATTTCTTTAGTACTTGTATAATCAAGTACTAAATAAATACACAGCAGCTGGAATTTTGGTGCAGTCACTGGCGAATCCCTTTTTAGCTACACAAATGCCTGTTTTTGCTGTGACGTGCTACTGCACTGTATTATTTGGCTACTGCTCAGTTAGCATCTCTTGTAGACGTGCCCACTGTGTACCTATTCTGGGATAGAATTCTTAATTAGAAAGCTTGTAACTGAAAACAGAAATGCACCAAGTCTGTATAATAAAGCCACAACACCAATTACTGCCTAGAAAAGTAATGTTATGAATATTATTACAAAAGAATAACCAACTTTATTGAGATTTTTAGTTTAGAATATATGTTTAGAATCATATAACAGTGTGAACCCATCTAAACATAAGAAAATTATTCTAGTCATTTACAAGGCCACGGGACCAGATGCGATGCACCTGAGGGTGTTGGCCAACATGACTGCAGAACTGATGGCCATAATCTTTGAAAACCCGTGGCAGTTGGGAGAGGTCATGGATGGTAGTGCCCGTCTCCAAGAAAGGGAAGAAGGAGGATCCGGGGAATTACTGACTGGTCAGTCTCACTTCAGTCCCTGGAAAAATCATGGAGCATGTCCTCAAGGAATTCATTTCTAACCACCTGGAGGAGAACAAGGTGAGTAGGAATAGACATCATGTATTCACCAAGAGCAAGTCATGCCTGACTAACCTGACTGCCTTCTTTGATGAGATGACTGGCTCTGTGGATGTGGGGAAAGCAGCAGACGTGATATAGTTTGACTTTAGTAAGGCTTTTGATATGGTCTCCCACAACATTTTCTCAAGCAAGCTAAGGAAGTATGGGCTGGAAGGATGGACTGGAAGGTAGATAGAAAACTGATTGGATCATTGGGCTCAGAGGGTAGTAATCAATATCTTGATGTCTAGTTGCCAACCAGTATCTAGTGGAGAGCCCCAGGGGTCAGTCCTGGAGCCGGTTTTGTTCAATATCGTCATCAACGACCTGGAAGATAGGAACTTGCAACCTCAGCAAGTTTGCAGATGACACTGAGCTGGGGGAATAGTAGATATGCTGGAGAATAGGGCTAGGATTCAGAGACACCTCGACAAATTGGAGGACTAGACCAAAAGAGATCTCATGAAGTTCAATAAAGACAAGTGCAAAGTCCTTTATAGAAGGGAACAATCCCATGCACCAGTACAGGCTGGGAACTGACTGGCTAGGCAGCAAATCTGCAGAAAAGGACCTATGGGTTACAGTGGACAATAAGGTGAATATGACCCAACTGTGTACCCTTGCTGCCAAGAATGTTAATGGCATACTGAGCTGTATTAGTAGAAGACTTGCCAGCAGATCAAGGGAAATGATTCTTCTCCTCTATTTGACACTGGTGAGGCTACATCTGGAGTACTGTGTCTAGTTTTGGGCCACCCACTACAGAAAGGATGTGGACAAATTGGAGAGACTCCAGTGGAGGGCAACAAAAATGGGGCTGAGGGCACGTGACTTCTGAAGAGAGGCAGAGGAAGGTGGGCTTATTTAGTCTGGAAAAGATGAGACTGAGAGGAGATTCAATAACAGCCTTCAACTACCTGAAAGGTGGTTTCAAAGAGGATGGAGCTAGCCTCTTTTCAGTGGTGGCAGATCAGAGAACAAGAAGCAATGGTCTCAAGTTGCAGCAAGGGAGGTTTAGCTTGGATATTAGGAAAAACTTTCTCACTAGGAGGGTAGTAAAGCACTGGAACAGGTTACCCAGAGAGGTTGTGTAGTCTCCATCCTTGGACGTTTTAAAGATCTGGCTTACACAAAGCCTTGGCCATGATGATCTAGTTTCAGCAGGGGGTTGGACTAGATGATCTCCTGAGGTCCCTCCTGACCCTAATTTTCTATGATTCTATGACACTATGGAATAATTATTGAAAAAATACTAAGAAAATCATGTGCAGAGCTGCAGAGGAAGAAAGAAATGAAGAGGCACAGGTAAAAGAAAAGCAAGTTTTAAGATACAACTGAATAGTAATGAAAACATATCATACTATAATGGCTGTGTTCTTTTATACAAATAGCCACAGCCATATTGCATTGCTTAAATATTGGAACAAGATACACTGGTTAAGATGGCAGCTGGGAGAGGTGGGGAGGGGAGAATGTCTATATAGTAAATATTCAATGCATTTCATGCGTTTAAGAAAAAAGGACAGCTCTCAAGAGTTAAATAATTTGGCCCAACTGTTGCTTTAATTTTTAATCTTATATGTCATGCCTCCCTTGCTGCCTGCCTGCGGCTGCTAACATTGACAAAAATCCTGTTTTTGGAAAGCATACCTCTTACACATTTCAACATCCTTTTACTCATAGGTCAGAGAAGACAGCAGAGGAAGTGTGTCATCTGAGTGTGCAGATGCAAACAAACCCCATGCCCTACTCTTTGGTGGACTTCCAAGACGTAGAAAGGATTTTTGTTATGTTCCAATCCTCAGACAGGATGATGGAGTTGATTTTATGTTTTTAGTCTTTGGTGAACTGGCCAATTTCCACTTTGAGTAATAACCTCATGGCTAAGCTTTCCCTACAGATACATATGATATTATTCACTTTCTGTCCCTAAACTGTTTTGTTTTGCTATGCATTTATTTCTTGCATTCACACTTCACTGAAAGATTGACCATCTGTCACCCTTGTCACCCTTGTCTGTCTACAGTTAATCAATGAGTCAACAAAATCAATGGGGTACTCAGTTATTGGGGGTGTCTATACACGTGCTCTGAGTAGACTCAATTAATTAGAACACTTCAGCGTGCTGCAGCATCAGCTGCATTCAGCATCCCATGTTTTAAAATACTGGCATTTTAACTAAAGCTCATTGAACAAGCTTTAAAGCACCCCCAACACCATTTTAAAATGTGGGATGCCGAATACATGAGATGCTGAGGCATTTTGATTAGAGCAGTTCCTCAGAGCTGCTCTAATTAAAACATGACCCCTCCATCCCAGAGGACATGTATGGAGCCCTATGTTGTTTTTTCCCCTCTGTCTTCTTTCTTACTTCATTCCTTATTTACTATATTCTTTTTAAAAAAAGTCTTAATTTTCATTCACATTATTTCTCTTATACTACTTTTCCCTCTACTGTGTGGAACAACTCGTAACACTAGTAGATAACCCAAGTTACAGGTCTCTTGTTGGCTGTTAAGACATCTCCCAGAGTTTGCAACAGGTCCTATTTAGCATTTACAGTTATTTTCTTCTGCGTGCCTCACTTAAACCATAAACGCTAACAAAGTTGAGGTCAAAAAGTTCAGGCCTGAATGGCTAAAGTTAGGCTCCTCAATCGCTAGCTTGACATCTAATTGTAAAATGTCAAATACAAAATGCTAGGACATGCAGAAAATTGATAAGGAAAGCAGAAAGAACAAAGCAGGAATCAACAGTCAGTGAAGCTAAGGACAATTAAATAATGAGAAGAGATTTTTTTCCAAGTATATTAGGAGGGAAAACCAGTCTGACAGTGATTTGGGTCCATTACTAGAATTGTCAATTATAATGGAGAAAGCATTTAATAAACATTGTTGTTCTATATATGAGAAAATATAGATAAATATAGAAAATACAGCTAAAGTGGTCATATCATATGATTACTGATGAAATGCTGAAAGATGGAGAACACTTGCAACTCCCGTTAACTTCAATGGGATTTGTAGGTCTTAACAATTCTCAAAATAAGGCCAGCTTACATTGAGGTACTTAACTGTGGCTCGAAGCCTAACTTTAGGAAGCCTGGTTTGTATATTTTGGCCAAAAATCTAAACTATTAATAAACATTTAAACAACAAATTACGAGATAAGCGATAGCAAATGAATACTGGCATAAGCCAGACTATAATGAGATATTCGTATGAACGAAGGAAGCTCTTAAACTACTCCCAAATTTCAAGTTTTCCCTTTCCAAAGAAGCCTGAGAAGAAAGGTGGGTTCTGTATACTAAATGTTTTATTTCAGATGAGGGAAGGGAGTAAATTTGAGAGTTAAGGAGTCTTCTCCAAAAATACTCATCATCATCCCCTCATACCTACACTCTACCCTGAAGGCCTTTACCAATTAGAAGAGAGGTAGCACTATAGAGGAGAGAAGCTGTCTCATACAACCAGGTCATATACCTACTGATATCTGTACAAAATGAAACAAACTAAGCATACCAAGAGAATGAAATTAAGGG